AAGATATGTCTACCTCATGGGGCACTACAACAGGAACACTTGTGTCAACTGTGTAGAAGCTTTACCACGGATTACTAAGAGTTAAGAAGTGTGCTCCTGGAGGAGTCTTACCTTTAATTTAGAGTAGTGCCTTAATGCTGACTGCATGTGACAGCAGCTTTTGGGGGCACTAGTGAGAGCTTGCTGTGAGGGTTCCCCATTCAGGCACTAAACCCCCCACATGCTGACAGATGTGCATGCGGAGGTGTGCAAGAACTGGAAAGAGAAAGCCTGAGGAGCTGATCTGTACAGCGGGAGGACGGGAGGTTGGTTATGGTAGGAGAGCTTTGTCTAACAGATGTCCTGACTCTCTCCCACCACTCTGCTGCCCAGCCAAGTTCTACCTCTTCTTCACTCCAGATCAAGATCTGCAGAAGTCCCCGCTGTACTGATTTCAGGTTCTCTCCTTCCACTTACAGTGCTTTTCAGAGGACATTTGACAGAGGGTAAGGAGATATTATATCGCCTCCCCACCACCTTTTTTTGCCACAACACCATGCCGTGCTTGTGGCACGACCCCATTGAACTCAATGGGCGAGTTTGACAAGCTGTGCACCATTAATTAAAAATGATGCGGACACTAAGCAAAGCTTTGCAGCCACCGAAAGTGAAAAGCCCTGTCTGCCTGTTATTTTTCAGTTTTGGTGGGTGGCAAGGGAGCAGTAAAACCGTCAGCTGCCCGTTTTTACCTCCCCTTGACTGCTTGTTTAAAAGAGACCCATTTCATGACCTATTTTTCCTAGCGCTAGGTGTTTTTCTTTCTATATGTTTACATACTTATTTTCACTGGTCCCAAATGAACATTAAGCAGAATCAAGTTTGGTCCTCCACAGCAATCCTAGTTTCTCATTTGGCCACTTTGGAAAATTATTTGCCCACCCCTAACTTAGAGAGTACTGCATCTAGTATGTTGGGACAACAGTCTAGCAATTGGCATTCTCAGGGGAGGTCCTGGCCGTTTACTTTGTTAAATTGGAATAAGAGGTAGACATTACCTGTCCCCATTTCTTTCAATGTAATGTCACACATGAGAGCGTTGGAAAGTCCAGAAAATGGTAATTTAAACTGATCCAAGTCCAAGAGTTCACAGAACTTGCCATTCTCGTCCAGCTGCAAGAACAAAGTAGAAATGAGCCTTTTAAAAGAATCAAACAAGCCAAGTCAGCCCACCAACTCCTACTTATAGCTTAAAGCAGATCTTCACCTTCTAGGCAATCTTCCCTCCTCCTCTTCACCCCTCCTACCTTCCTCTCCTTAAATAGCACCTTTTTTTTAAAAAAAATTTACTTTTTATTTTAAAAAGTGTTTGGGCCGCCCCCCCATGTGCACATCATTCGCCCAGGCCAGGGGACTCCAGACTTTCGAAACAAAGGGCCAACTTACTTCAAACTTTAGGGTGGCCAAACTGTAGCTAGTGGGAGCAGAAAATGCCCTGGCATCAGTGAGAATAATAAATCTAATAGGTTTGGTGGTCAGTGGGAGTAAAAAATAATTACATCGCGTGTGTCAGATGTTAGAAGCAGTGCCCCATAATTGGTATTATTGGGAGAAATTATTTCCCCATCTCTAGTGTTAGTGAGAGGACTAGTATCCCATCTCTGGTGTTAGAGGGAGTAATAGTACCTCATTGTTGGTGTCAGTGGGAGGAATAGTGCCCCATCATTGGTGTCAGTGGGAGGAATAGTGCCCCATCATTGATATCAGTGGGAAGAATAGTGCCTCATCATTGGTATCAGTGGGAGGAATAGTGCCCCATCATTGGTATCAGTGGGAGGAATAGTGCCCCATAATTGGTTTCAGTGGAAAGGAATAGTGCCCTATCATTGGTGTCAGTGGGAGGAATAGTGCCCCATCATTGGTGTCAGTGGGAAGAATAGTACCCTATCTCTGGTGTCAATGGGAGGAATAGTGCCCCATAATTAGTGTCAGTGGGGGGAATAACGCCCCATCTTTAGTGTCAGTGGGGGGAATAGTGCCCCATCATTGGTGTCAGTGGGAAGAATAGTACCCTATCTCTGGTGTAAGTGGGAGGAATAGTGCCCCATATTTAGTGTCAGTGGGAGGAATAACGCCCCATCATTGGTATCAGTAGAAGGAATAGTGCCCCATCATTGGTGTCAGTGGGAGGAATAGTACCCCATCATTGGTATCAGTGGGAGAGATAGCACCCCACCTCTGATGTTAGATGGAGGAATAGTACTCCACCATTGTTATTAGAGGGAGGAGCAGTGCCCCATAATTGGTGTCAGTTGGAGGAATAGTACCCCATCTCTGGTGTCAGTGGGAGGGATGGTACCCCCATTGATGGTGTCAGTGGAAGGAATAGTACCCCGTCTTTGGTGTCAGTGAAAGAAATAGTGCCCTGTATCAGTGGGGTGAACAGTGCACCATGGGCTGGATAAAAGGTAAGCCACAGTTTGGAGACCACTGTTCTAGGCAAATTATATGCCCAGTGGGATATGCATGTTACATATCCCAAGAGACTCTGCCTGTCCATTCAGTAAAGGAGAAGGAGATGGGCCTAGTGGCGCATCATCAATAGGCTTATCAGCTGGACCTGGAAAAGCCAGCGCCTACCGATGATGTCACAACAAAAACATGGTGGCGCATGACCAAGCAGTAGCAAAACAGAAGAGGATCTCAGTGGGAAAAACGCTGGATCCACTGGGTGGGTGACTATCTGAGTGGTGCAGAAGACAACCCCTGGTAAGCAGAGGTTATAAAAAAAAACTGGGGAGAGGGGGGGGGGGCCTGAAGATCCACTTTAAATAACATTTTTGATTGGACTGACTCTGTGCCCAAGTAACAAAAAAAGCTTCAGCTTATATAATAAGGGTTATAACAATAATTGTTAATACAATTTGTGGTGCTCAGATACAGTTTAGTTTCGTTTTAAGCTAAAGCGTCATCAATTTTCCATCTTTTGTCTCCAGTGGTAGCTAATTAGGCACTACTGCAAAAAATGCCATAAGATGTCCTATATCTCAATTTTTATACGATCCAGGGGTGGACTGACAACTTATGGGGCCTCTGGGCAATAGGGGATCATGGGGCTCCTGTGTCCTTGCCCAAACTCAAACAAGCCTATGAAAAAGGTACCAGGGGCATCTCATGGGGCCCCCTACTGACCCCGGGCCCTCGGGCAGTGCCCGAGTTTCCAAATTTCCAAATGGTCAGTCCGCCCCTGCTGCACACTATGCATGGGTGGTGTGCATCATCAGGGGGGCCAACAGGAAGAAAGAGCCAGTCCCCGATCTATCTTCCTATAGCATCTTACAAATCCTATTATTTATCTGGCAAAATATATTGAATACCATATATTACGGCTTAAACCTTCTTTGTCCTAGTGAGTGACCACTGTCACTGGGACAGAAAGTTATAGGAAGTCCAAAACTTTCCTGTTGTCATTGGAACAGCAGGTGAAGGGAAAACTTCCAACTGAGACACCTGTTCCAATATCCATTCAGAAGAGCCACAGAATAGGCTACAGCTGGCCATTAAGCTCATTCAATAAGTGGACATGGTCTCTTTGACCAGACTCACGTGCAAACATCAATGTACAGGTTACTTCAAGTGTTAAGGATTTACATATTAAGGAAGGATGAGTTCAGAGTAGGAAGCAGACATGGAAGACAAAGTAACATCTCTGGTTACTCCCGGATTGTTCTTCTAGGGCAGGGGTCTGCAACCTTTAAGACATAAAGAGCCACTTGGACCCGTTTCCGAGAGGGAAAAAAAAGACTGGGAGCCGCAAAACCATTGCAACATTTAAAACAAATCCGACACTGCATATATTGCAAAAAGCGCTCTGGTCATGAAGGGGTTTAAGGGCCCAGTAAGCAAAGGGTTAATCAGGGCCACAGTGTATCGTCATAATCACAATCATAGCCTTAGGTCAGTGGTGGGCAACCTTTTTTTTCAACTGAGCCAAATCTCGCCAAAACCACAATTGAAATTTATTTTGAGAGAAACATTTTTAAAACTGAAACTACATCCCCCATATAGTAATTCATCCCTCATAGTAATTCATCCCCCATATAGTAATTAATCCCCCATAGTAATTCATCCCCCATATAGTAATTCATCCCCCCTATAGTAATTCATCCCCCATATAGTAATTCATACCCCATATAGTAATTCATCCCCCATAGTAATTCATCCCCCATATAGTAATTCATCCCCCCTATAGTAATTCATCCCCCATAGTAATTCATCCCCCATATAGTAATTCATCCCCCATATAGTAATTCATTCCCCATATAGTAATTCATTCCCCATATTGTGTCAATTCACTTACCTTTGCTCCGCGCGTTCCTCTCGCCGTGTTCCCGCGCCGTTCTGGTCTTCAGGGCGGACTGTGAGAGGAGAGGAGTTCGTCACGCTGCCCCGCCTACATCCTGACAGCCAATGTTTGCCAGCGGGCGCCCGGCACACAGAAGAGCTGCATGTGTAAAGAGCTGCGGCTTGCCGACCACTGAGCTACGGCAACCCCATTGCCTGTCACCTGGTGGGCAGTGTGCTCCGGAGCCGCAGCAAAGGTGAAAAAGAGCCGCATGCGGCTCTGGAGCCGCGGGTTGCCGACACCCGTTCTAGGAGAACGGTCAGCTTGTCATAGCTGGCTGTACCCTAGACATGGGACAATTGCATATTCAATTCAAAAGCCCTCATGTCATGAATTGACTGTCACATGAAGGCCTTCAACTCAGGTAATCAAAAAGAAGTAAGGAAAAGCCTACAGAAGACATTTAGAACAATGATGGAGTAATAAATGATAGCAGCCCTATTTGGATTCTGTAATAGCCCTTCTATGTAATCACCTCTTTTGTAAACTCATAGCAGAGGTCACTTAAACCCCGAAAGCAGTTGGCTTCTCTTCCATATTTAGGTACAGTTCTGCAGCACCGGACTACAACCGTGCCTTGGACAGGCTCCCCATATACGTATCTGGAGAATGGAAGGAAATGTAAGCATTTGTGACAAGGCAAGCATTAAATTGTATAGCACATGCAAATACAATGGTGCAGACCAGGGGCGGACTGACCATTTGGAAACTTGGGCACTGCCCGAGGGCCCGGGGTCAGTAGGGGGCCCCATGAGATGCCCATGGTATCTTTTTCATAGGCTTTTTTGAGTTTGGGCAAGGACACAGGGGCACCATGATCCCCTATTGCCCAGGGGCCCCATGAGTTATCAGTCCGCCCCTGGTGCAGACCTATGTTCTAATAGTGACCCTGTAAGATTGGTCCGGTTTGTTTTAGTACAAATAGACCAGTGTGGTTAGCACTAGTGTTGGAGCCAAACAGCATATATAAACTACAGCACTCCAAGGACAGATTGCTGAGTGGCCTTCAGCTAGTTTCTCTTAACCTGTGACCAGAGGCGGACTGACATCTCATGGGGCCCCGGGGCAATAGGGGATCATGGGGCCCCTGTGTCCTTGCCCAAACTCAAAAAAGCCTATGAAAAAGGTACCAGGGGCATCTCATGGGGCCCCCTACTGACCCCAGGCCCTCGGGCAGTGCCTGAGTTTCCAAATGGTCAGTCTGCCCCTGCTTGGTAATGTAGACACATATAATGCTGATTCATGGGAAGTGTGATTCTTAATGACATGTCTATGTGGTCTTCTTCTGAGGTTCTCCACCGACGATCTCCAGAATCTGAGAGAGAGAATAATCTCCCTGCAAAGCGAGGCACCCTCCGTCTGCCAGCTGGTAGACCTACCCAGAGCGTGGGGTCTAAGCCCGGGCTGTGCTTTCACCAGGGCCCCTGATGGTGGGGATGGACTTGAAACAGTCCCGGGCCAGGTCACGACCTCTGAGCGGGCCACCAGCGGCCGAGGAGGCCTCCGGGGATGTATGTAGGTACCAGGAGAGCCAGCTGTGAAGAGGATGGCGGCCCCAGCAGGGTGGTACGGATTGTGGCCCGTGGGGTAAGCGGGGTACCGAGTCGGCGGGCTAGGAGTAGTCGGGTCACACGCAGGGTCAGCCGGGTAAATCAATCCGTAGGGACAGTCGGGATAAGCCGAGTCAAAACGCAGGAGCAGGCAGAATAGTCAGAACAAAGCCGGGTCAATCACAGGAGCGGGTAGAATAGTCAGAACAAAGCCGGGTCAATCTCAGGGGCAGGCAGCGTAGTCAGGGTCAAAAACAGGGTCACAGCAGGAGCAGGTATTCAGGATCACGTATAGACCTTGCGGCAATTTGTGACAGTGCAGGGCATCTTTAAATAGTGCGCCCTGCACTGTCATTGGCTGGCTAGGACGCGCCCCCGGCTGTCATTGGACGCCTGAGGCGCGCCCGCGGTTTCTACTGCGCATGCGCGGCGTCCTGTCAGCCGCGGCTCGCCGGGACCTAGTTCCTGTGTCCCGGCGTGATCTGCCGCCACTGCGCATGCGCGGGGGACAGAGCCGCGATTGCGGCAGACGGAGCCGGGATCCCTGACATTGCCCCCCCCCAACGGGCACCCTCCGGGAGCCCCACTGATCTCTCCACCGCGGGTGAGCACGAAAAAACTCCCGGATGAGCCTGGGCGCGTGAACGTCCTGGGCGGGTTCCCAGGAGTTCTCCTCAGGACCATAACCCTTCCATTTTATCAGGAACTGAGTCTGGCCCCCCCTCCTTCGGCAACTGAGGATAGCTTCCACCTCAAATTCCTCCTGGTCACCTATGGCGATTGCCTCGGGAGGTCTGGATTCTCGGTCTGGGAAGGGATCCGGTCTGGACGGCTTCAGGAGAGACACATGAAACACAGGATGTATTTTGAAAGTCTGCGGAAGCTCGAGTTCGTAGGCCACCTTGTTGACCATTCGTTTAACAGGAAATGGGCCAATGTACTTGGGTCCCAGCTTCCTTGAGGGGCACAGCATCTTCAAGTTGGCTGTTGCCAGCCAAACCAGATCTCCTGGTTGAAGCAGTAAATCTCCTCTTCTCTTTCTGTCGAAAGCCTTCTTACTGTCCTCCTGGGCCTTAGCGATGGCTTCCTGAATAGTCTTGTTGTTGACGGAAAAGAAGTTCAAGATGTCCTGTGACGCCGGTACCAGATTTTTCAGGCATTAGATCAGGGAGGAATGTGGGGTGATACCCGTAATTAGAAAAGAATGGCGATTGACCCGTAGCTGAGTGACTTGAGTTGTTGTATGAGAACTCCGCAGAAGGCAACAACGTCAGCCAGTCATCCTGGAGATAGGAGGTGTAGCATCGTAAATACTGTTCCAGCGTTTGGTTGGTCCTCTCGGTTTGACCGTTGGTCTGCGGGTGGTAGGCGGATGAGAGCGACAGCTTGATTCCCAGCGCTTTACATAGGGCGTTCCAGAACCTGGAGGTGAATTGCACCCCCCGATCCGACACAATGTCTTCGGGGACTCCATGAAGCCTTACCACTTCCCGAATGAAGATCCGTGCCGTTTCCGGTGCCGATGGGGTCTTCTCCAGGGGCACGAAATGCGCCATCTTCGAGAAGCGGTCGACGATCACCATTATCGCTGTGTGGCCTTGGGATGGTGGGAGTTCGACCACAAAATCCATGGCTATCATTTGCCAGGCCCGCTTGGGTATAGGTAATGGACGTAACAATCCCCATGCCCTACTCCTGGAGGGTTTGTTCCTTTGACAGGTGGGACACGTCCGGACGTAACGCTCACAATCCTTGATCATATCCGGCCACCAGAACGAGCGCCGTAGCAGTTCTAGAGTCTTCGTCACCCCGAAGTGACCTGCCATTGGATGGTCGTGGCAATGCCCTAGGACCAAGGTTCGCACCTCTTCTGGGACCATGATTCGGTCTTCCTTCCAAAACAGGCCACCGTGGCTCTGGAGGGGTGACCCAGACGGAACGGGTAGTCTTACCGAAGCATCAAGAAGCCGGGAGCGCAGTTCCGTTTGTAGCGCGAGGAAGCTTCCAGAAGGCAGGATGGTGTCTGGTACCGCAGCGTCGTCGGGGTCCTCAAACATGCGGGACAGGGCGTCTGGTTTGGTATTCTTAGTACCGGGTCGGTACGTTATATGGAATGAGAATCGAGAAAAGAAAAGGGCCCATCTCGCTTGACGTGGTCTCAGTCGTTTTGCCGTCCTTAAATATTCTAGGTTTTTGTGATCTGTAAATATTAGGATGGGGTGAGTGGCCCCTTCCAGTAAATACCTCCATTCTTCCAGAGCGGTTTTAATGGCCAGGAGCTCCCGATCTCCAATGTCATAGTTGCGCTCCGCTGGTGTCAGCTTCCTGGAGAAGAACGCCACAGGGTGCAGTAGTTCCTTGGTACCATTCCTTTGGGAAAGAACCGCTCCTACCGCGTTTTCGGAGGCGTCAACTTCCAACACATATGGGAGCGAAGAATCCGGATGGCAGAGAATGGGAGCAGAGGTGAACAGTCTCTTGAGCTTATCGAAGGCCGACTGAGCTTCGGAGGTCCACTTAAAGCGGACCCCTTGTTTCGTCAGTTGCGTGATCGGGGAGACCAGACCGGAGAAGTTCCTAACGAATTTTCTGTAAAAGTTAGCAAAGCCAATGAAGCGCTGTACCCCCTTTTTGTCGGCGGGTATTGGCCAATCTAAGATCGCCGTGACCTTCTGGGGATCCATCGCGACCCCCGCGGAAGAGAGAACCAGTCCCAAGAATGTGATTTCGTGCTGTTCAAAACAGCACTTTTCAGCCTTAGCGTATAGCCCGTGTTGGCGCAACCGTTCTAAGACCCGTGACACGTGACCCCGATGAACCTCCAGTGAGGGGGAAAAAATTAGGATGTCATCCAAGTAAACTACCACGAAAATATCAAGAAAATCGCGAAAAACATCATTGATAAAATGCTGAAAAGTCGCCGGGGCATTACAGAGCCCGAACGGCATCACCAAATATTCGTAGTGACCGAATCTTGTACGGAACGCCGTTTTCCACTCATCCCCCTCCCTGATACGAACAAGGTTATAGGCCCCCCGCAGGTCTAATTTAGTGAAAATCGTTGCTGATCTCAGTCTCTGGAGGAGCTCGGGGACTAGGGGTAAGGGATAACGATTCTTTACCGTAATTTTATTTAGGTCACGATAGTCTATGCAGGGCCGTAACGATTTGTCCTTCTTCTCTACAAAGAACAACCCGGCCCCGGCTGGGGATGTGGAAGGACGAATAAAGCCCTTCCGAAGGTTTTCGTCGATATATTCCCTCAGCACCCCCGATTCCATTTCGGACAAGGGGAAGATACGGCCGAAAGAGATTTCCGACCCGGGTAGGAGGTCAATGGGGCAGTCGTAGGGACGGTGTGGAGGTAGAACGTCAGCTCCCCCCTTACTAAAGACGTCCAAGAAGTCATGATAGGCCGGAGGAATCACCTGGGATAGATTGGTGTCTCCGTCCAAGCACAGGAGGAACCGGGGAACCATGGGTCCTGTGACGTGGCAGTGACTCAAACAATAGGGTGACCGAAAATGAATCGTTCCCTTTTCCCAGTCAATCTGGGGGTTATGGGCCCTCAGCCAAGGGAGCCCCAGAATGACTGGAAAAAGGGGGGAGGCGATGGCGTCCAAACGGAGGAACTCCTGGTGATGGTCTGCCATAGTGGTGAAAATGGGTGGTGTCTCCTGGTCCACCACCCCAGACTTTATACTGGACCCATCTGCCAAGAAAATGTTGAACCCCCTTTCTTTGGTCTGGAGAGGGATTTTTTGCCGGTGGGCAAAAGTCAGATCAATAAAACAGCTACAGGCTCCTGAGTCAACGATCGCGGTCACCGACAATATTCCTCCGGGGAGCTGTAAAGACACAGGAATGGCCAGGTAACTAGACTGATCATCCCTGCCTGCAGGTAAGGAACAAGAAACGGGCGTGGACTTACTCGTTTTTGCAGGACAGGAGCGCACTTGGTGACCAGCTTCCCCGCAGTACAGACACAGGTTCAGTGAGCGCCTCCTCTGGCGTTCCTCGACCGATAAGTGGGAACGGGCCAGTCCCAGTTGCATGGGTTCCGAGTTGTCTCCCATCTCCGTGTTTCGCGGATGGTTCCCTGGGGCTGGAGTTGTATCTCTTGATGGAATCCATGCCACCCTTTGACCCTGGCCGCTCCTTTCCTGTCGACGTTCCCTTAGTCTACGGTCAATTTGAATGGCCAATTCAATCAATCTTTCCAGGGAGTCAGGTAGGCCTACTCGTGCGAGTTCGTCCTTGAGAGGCTCAGACAGTCCAATGCGGAACTGGTGACATAAGGCCGCATCGTTCCATCTGGTGTCTCCCATGCTACGCCTAAAATCGGACGCGTATTCTTCCGCTGCCCGGCGGCCCTGTCGCAGAGAGTTTATAGGGTAGCCTCTGCGGAAGCAGCCCGCTGAGGGTCGTCATACAAAACGGCCATGGCCTGAAAGAACTCGGTCACAGAGTCAAGATGGGGGTCGCGCCTCTCCATCAGACGGTGGGCCCAATCCTGGGGCTCATCCTGAAGGAGAGAGACTATAAACCCCACCTTGACGGTCTCGGAGGAGAATGTGCGAGGCTGCAAGTTAAAATATAGTGTGCAAGCGTTCCGAAAGGCTCGGAAGCGGCTCCGGTCCCCACGGAACCGCTCCGGCAGGGGAACGCGGGGTTCAGGAGCCAAGGGTGTGGCAACCGCTCCGGATACCGGGGTTGCGGGAGGTTCCACAGACGGGGAACTCTGAGCAGGGGGAGTCTGGGGGGCTAATGTCTCCATGCGGTCTTCCAGTCGGGCGCAGCGACTGTGGAAGTTCTGGAAAGCCTGGGTCAAAGTTGCCAGGTGCTGGCAAATATCCTCTAGGGACGCCGGTCCACTTCCTGGCTCTGTCATGGCCGCAAGGTACTGTTAGGATCCGCCAGGCGGAGCCCTCCGTCTGCCAGCTGGTAGACCTACCCAGAGCGTGGGGTCTAAGCCCGGGCTGTGCTTTCACCAGGGCCCCTGATGGTGGGGATGGACTTGAAACAGTCCCGGGCCAGGTCACGACCTCTGAGCGGGCCACCAGCGGCCGAGGAGGCCTCCGGGGATGTATGTAGGTACCAGGAGAGCCAGCTGTGAAGAGGATGGCGGCCCCAGCAGGGTGGTACGGATTGTGGCCCGTGGGGTAAGCGGGGTACCGAATCGGCGGGCTAGGAGTAGTCGGGTCACACGCAGGGTCAGCCGGGTAAATCAATCCGTAGGGACAGTCGGGATAAGCCGAGTCAAAACGCAGGAGCAGGCAGAATAGTCAGAACAAAGCCGGGTCAATCACAGGAGCGGGTAGAATAGTCAGAACAAAGCCGGGTCAATCTCAGGGGCAGGCAGCGTAGTCAGGGTCAAAAACAGGGTCACAGCAGGAGCAGGTATTCAGGATCACGTATAGACCTTGCGGCAATTTGTGACAGTGCAGGGCATCTTTAAATAGTGCGCCCTGCACTGTCATTGGCTGGCTAGGACGCGCCCCCGCTGTCATTGGACGCCTGAGGCGCGCCCGCGGTTTCTACTGCGCATGCGCGGCGTCCTGTCAGCCGCGGCTCGCCGGGACCTAGTTCCTGTGTCCCGGCGTGATCTGCCGCCACTGCGCATGCGCGGGGGACAGAGCCGCGATTGACACCAGGCCCAGCCTCTGCCTTGCTTTAAATGCAGTTGCACGTTTAAAGTGGTTGTGAACCTCTGAGATGAAATATGAACAAAGCATATTCCTCTCTAGCGTGTATTTGTCTCAATCCAGAGCACTAAGTGTCATTTCTGTCTGCTGCCTCCTTCCCAGGGGTGTATTTACCACAAGGCAAACAAGGCATTTGCCTAGGGCGGCATTTTTCAGGGGGGCCGCAGCATTTTTCAGGGGGGGCAGCACCGCCCTCCAAAAGAAGGGATGGAAGAAGGGACACACGCAGCATGGGGACCAGGTGAGATCTGACAGAGGGCTGCCAGTGTATGGGGGGGCGGTGGTGGTAGTGGAAGGCTCTCTCGGGTGGGGGCTGGGGTGTTGTTGGTCAATGTCAGGCTCTCTTTGTGGGGAAGGTCTCTCTGTGGGAGGGTGGGGGGCAATTTTTGTGTTGCCTAGGGCAGCATGAAACCTAAATACACCACTGCTCCTTCCTCTGCTATAAGCAGCATGAGTCACTTCTGACAAGTTTTCCTTACACCAAGAGAAAAAAGGTGCCGGGGAGGGCACAACCTGTGATTGATGTTCCTGTATGAAGGGGGGGCGTGTCCCTTTCCTCCAGTCAGTTCTCAGAGCTCTCCTCACTGAGTGTAACATCAGCTCCCCGCCCCCTGCTTTTCATAGCTGAGAGGTCCTGTGTAAATTCTGTTCTTTCAATGGATGTAGAGGACAGATGGAGATAAACAGGTACAACTTATGTAGGAGGATTTGCTTCATCTCTGTGTATCACCTGAGGCCAGTCACTTCACTGGGTATATGTGAAGGTCTGCAACCACTTTAAGGTGCATTGCATTAAATTCATGCATGCAGCATTTCCAGTTGGGCACCACTGAGAAGGTTCATTGGCACTGTATGGCACCAAGGTGTGTATCACACACTGAACGTCTCCCTCGCCTCTGTGGTGTGCCCATGCCCTCAGTGTATGTGTAGGCTTAAGGAATTGTGGGCTTGGGTTGTACTTACTGTGCAGATCCATTCATTGTAGCTGTTCTGTCCAAAACGGAGATGGTGCTGGGACAATTGGCATTCCAATCAAATCTTGGCAGGTCTGAAAATGAATGGCAACATCATCAACTTTCATTCAAGAAGGACACTTGCCATATTCATTGTCCCTGATACTCTGTTATATAGTTCCAATGTAATGAGCATTCAAGGCCCATTTTTTTTTTTAAATACTACATGATACAGCTTGACCAGCCCTTCTCAACTTGGGGTGCCTTGAGGTTTCTTCAGGGGTGCCTTGGCAAAATGTCTAAAAATTGCCCAAAACTTGTATACAAGACATTGAGTGGAACATAATTTTAAAGGGTGCCTCGGGACTGTTCATAATTTTAAAGTGTGCCTTGGGACTGTCCATAATTTTAAAGGGTGCCTCTGGACTGTCCATAAATTTAAAGGGTACCTCGGGGCTGTCCATAATTTTAAAGGGTGCCTCGGGGCTGTCCATAATTTTAAAGGGTGCCTCGGGGCTGTCCATAATTTTAAAGGGTGCCTCGGGGCTGTCCATAATTTTAAAGGGTGCCTCGGGACTGTCCATAAATTTAAAGGGTACCTCGGGACTGTCCATAATTTGAAAGAGTGCCTCAGGACTGTCCATAATTTTAAAGGGCGCCTTGGGACTGTCCATAATTATAAAGGGTGCCTCGGGACTGTCCATAATTATAAAGGGTGCCTCGGGACTGTCCATAATTTAAAAGAGCGCCTCGGGACTGTCCATAATTTTAAAGGGTGCCTCGGGACCATCCATAATTTTAAAGGGTGCCTCGGGACTGTCCATAATTTTAAAGGGTTCCTTGGGACTGTCCATAATTTTAAAGGGTTCCTTGGGACTGTCCATAATTTTAAAGGGCGCCTCGGGACTGTCCATAATTTTAAAGGGTTCCTTGGGACTGTTCATAATTATAAAGGGTGCCTCGGGACTGTCCATAATTTAAAAGAGTGCCTCGGGACTGTCCATAATTTTAAAGGGTGCCTCGGGACCGTCCATAATTTTAAAGGGTGCCTCGGGACTGTCCATAATTTTAAAGGGTTCCTTGGGACTGTCCATAATTATAAAGGGTGCCTCGGGACTGTTCATAATTATAAAGGGTGCCTCGGGACTGTCCATAATTTAAAAGAGTGCCTCGGGACTGTCCATAATTTTAAAGGGTGCCTCGGGACTGTCCATAATTTTAAAGGGTGCCTCGGGACTGTCCATAATTTTAAAGGGTTCCTTGGGACTGTCCATAATTTTAAAGGGCGCCTCGGGACTGTCCATAATTTTAAAGGGTTCCTTGGGACTGTTCATAATTATAAAGGGTGCCTCGGGACTGTCCATAATTTTAAAGGGTGCTTCTGGAGTGTCCATAATTTTACAGGGTTCCTCAGGACTGTCCAAAATTTTAAAAGGTGCCTAGGGACTTTCCATAATTTAAAGGGTGCCTCGGGACTGTCCATAATTTGAAAGAGTGCCTTAGAACTGTCCATAATTATAAAGGGTACCTAGGGACTTTCCATCATTTTAAAGGGTGCCTCGGGACTGTCCATAATTTTAAAGGGTGCCTCAGGACTGTCCATAATTTTAGAGGGTGCCTTGGGACTGTCCATAATTTTAAAGGGTGCCTCTGGACTGTCCATAAATTTAAAGGGTGCCTCGGGACTGTACATAAATTTAAAGGGTGCCTCAAGAATTTCCATAATTTTAAAGAGTGCCTCGGGACTGTCCATAATTTTAAAGGGTTCCTTGGGATTGTCCATAATTATAAAGGGTGCCTCGGGGCTGTCCATAATTTTAAAGGGTGCCTCGGGGATGTCCATAAATTTAAAGGGTGACTCGGGACTGTCCATAAATTTAAAGGGTGCCTCACGGCTGTCCATAATTTTAAAGGGTGCCTCGGGACTGTCCATATCTATAAAGGGTGCCTCGGGACTGTCCATAATTTTAAAGGGTGCCTCGGGACTGTCCATGATTTTAAAGGGTGCCTCGGGACTGTCCATGATTTTAGAGGGTGCCTTGACTGAAAAACAAGGTTGAGAAACACTGGGTTGGACAGTACCAGCCTATACTCTGCTTAGTGTAGACCAGCAGTTCTGGATGCACAGTTTGCTCGTAGCTCTTAAGGAATGATTTGCATTTCTCTGCCCCCATACTGAAAGATTAGGGTTAATGTATTGTGATTGTGCGCCTTATAATTAACTTTAGTGTGTTTCTTACTGAAATTGTGCATTTTATAAACCATTTCACTAATATCCCATGACAAAAAAAAAAATAGAACTACCACCATTTTATTCTCTAGGGTGTTTGCTGTCAGAAAATGTGTAATGTTCACGGTTTCTATGTCATATTCAAGGCTAAAATTATTTTTTTAAACATGTGCAAAAAAAGCAACAATGGCTCTGTCAGCGAAAGGGTAAGTCAACCCCAGGGGCGGACTGACAACTCATGGGGCCCCCGGGCAATAGGGGATCCTAGGGCCCCTCTGTCCTTGCTCAAACTCAAAAAAGCCTATGAAAAAGGTACCAGGGGCATCTCATGGGGCCCCCTACTGTCCCCAGGCCCTCGGGCAGTGCCTGAGTTTCCAAATGGTCAGTCCGCCCCTGGTCAATCCCAATGTCCTCCACTAAGCCAGTGCACAGCAGCACGGTATACTCTTCCTAGTATTGAAGGTGTCTATAGGTCTCACATCCAATACAAATACAAGGCTATGTTCACACCTGTAGTTTTGCTTTTTGTCCGTTTTGCAGTGCTTTTTTGGCAGTTTGTTTTGCGTTTTTCTGGAATTCTTGTTGCTGGGGAGAATAAAAATGAAAAACCCAGCAAAAACGCACTACCGTGCATTTCAGCAGCTTCTTCATTGAATTCTACTGTAGCAAAACGCTGTTTTTTGCTTTTAACCTCGTCACGCCGTCGGCATGCAAATGTGCGGCCTCCCGGCGCCTGGGCCTTGACGCCGAGCGGCTGCACATTTGCGTGCAATTAATAAAAAAACATATGTGCTGAGAGTGCGCACTCTACCAGGGGCGGACTGACAACTCATGGGGCCCCCGGGCAATAGGGGATCATGGGGCCCCTGTGTCCTTGCCCACACTCAAAAAAGCCTATAAAAAAGGTACCAGGGGCATTTCATGGGGCCCCCTACCAGGGGCGGACTGACAAATCATGCGGCCCCTGGGCAATAGGGGATCATGGGGCCCCTGTGTCCTTGCCCAAACTCAAAAAAGCCTATGAAAAAGGTACCAGGGGCATCTCATGGGGCCCGCTACTGACCCCGGGCCCTCGGGCAGTGCCCGAGTTTCCAAATGGTCAGTCCGCCCCCTGTACCCTACGCACTCCCAGCACACATGTCCAGTACTCATGGAAAGGTCCCGATCTCCTCTTTCAATCGGGACCTTTCCTGATCATGTGACTGCTGTGACAGCGAATCACGGTGGTCACATGACCTTAAAACCCCGTCCTGCCTCCCAGCTTCTGAAACCCTTAAAGGCCCGGGAGGCGCCGGCACCAAGAGGTTAAACAAGTCCCTGACCCTTTTCAAAAATGCAGCGGCTCAAAAATGCAAAGACGTGAACGTGTCCCATAAGGAACCATGTTAAATGGACTGTAGTGCGTTTCGGCAAAAACCACTAAAAAAAACGCATTGGTGTGAACGGAGTCTTAGGGATCTATTTTTAGGGGTTGATTTACTAAAACTACATGGTGTCAAATCTGGTGCAGCTCTGCATAGAAACCAATCAGCTTCCAGGTTTTATTGTCAAAGCTTAAAGCGGAGTTCCACCCAAAAGGGGAAGTTCAGCTTTAAGCCTTTGTCCCCCGCTCCCCATTAAGGATTGGCATCTTTGGGGAGCGGGTACCCAAATTTGACAGGTACCTGCTCCCGCTTCCGGCGCGATCGCCTAGGCGATCGGAAGCGGAAGTTGTCCTCCCTCCCTCCCTCCCCGTAGTCTTCTGGGACACGTGACAGGTCCCAGAAGACTACGGGGCCATTCACAAAGTGCAGCGCTTCTCACGCATGCGCAGTGGGCACCCGGCTGTGAAGCCGCAAGCTGTCACAGCCGGGTTCCCACACTGAAGATGCCGGTGCCAGGGAGAGAGGACGGCCGGTGAAACCAGCGCTGGTGAGGACACCGCCAGACCGAGGGACAGGTAAGTGGCTGTACTTTAAAGCCAACGGATACAGTTTTTGCAGCTGCTGACTTTTATTTTTTTTTTTCTAGGTGGAACTTCGCTTTAACTGAACAAGTTGAAGTTAGAAGCTGATTGGCTCCCATGCACAGCTACACCCACATTCTGAGTGCTCCAGTTTTAGTAAATCTCCCCCATTGCGTCTTTCTCTCATTGCAGAGAGGAAGTAAAAAATGTGTGTAAAAAAAAATCTAATAATAATAATAAATAAATAAATAAAAGAAACAATATCTAGATCAAGGTTAGATCTAGGTCACGGCTCTGAGGAAGAGGGAACTGTCCCTCGAAACGCGTCAACATCCGAGGGTCTTCTTGAGGTTTTGGGGTTGACCAGGTGACCTGTTCGCTTTGAGATTATGATGCTTTTGATACATAATTGTTTGTGAGTATATTTTGATGTTTCTATTATAGTTTCATACTCACCAGGGGCGGACTGACCATTTGGAAACTTGGGCACTGCCCGAGGGCCCGGGTCAGTAGGGGGCCCCATGAGATGCCCCTGGTACCTTTTTCATAGGCTTTTTTGAGTTTGGGCAAGGACACAGGGGCCCCATGATCCCCTATTGCCCAGGGGCCCCATGAGTTGCCAGTCCGCCCCTGATACTCTGGTAATGCACTAGGCCTCTGCACCTTTCTTCCATTGTTTTTGCAGATCTAGGTCACTGCCAGGGTTTGTGTTAGTGTCAAGTAGGGGTCAAAGGTCATGGTCAGTAAATTTTTGGGCAGGTTTTTTTTTTTTTTCAAACATTCTTAAAATGATCAATGTCAGTTAGTGTCAGTGTCAGTATGTTTTTAGGTAGGCCAAAAAAAAAAGACGAAGGCCAAATGTGCACTACTGCTTCTGGGCTTTACTACCGGTGCAAACAACATATGTGGTATCGATGCGATTGTCAGGAACAGGAAAATGTACTTTGGGTCTTTGGTGAAAAGTTATGGTAGTAGCAAGAAATATAAAGTTTCATTTAAAAAATGATTTTTTTTTTCTTTTTCTATTTTGCACCAGTTTTCCTTTGATAATAAAAAAACACAGGAGAAAAGAAAGTCCAATTTATCCTAGATTGTAAGCTGGAAGGAGCAGGGCCCTCGATCCCCTCATGTATCACATTGTATTGGTATTGTTCTGTCACATGTTCTGTCCCCCTTTGTAATGTACAGCGCTGAGCGAACTGTTGGCGCTTTATAAATACTGTATAATAATAATAATAATAATCCCAAAAAACAAGGTTTAATCCACTTGTAGTTGTGACGATATGTTCGGTTTTACTAACTCATGTCATAGTTGCAAAACTGTTCAGGCATTAGGGTTTGTTTTACCCTCAGTCATGAAGGGAGTAATGGCTACACAGGACTTAAAATCTCCCCAGTGCGGTCACAGAGAGCAATAAAACAATGTCAAGGGTGCCAACCTGCGGCCCAACTCACTTGGAAGAAAAATATATTTTAAATCTATTTTAAGAATATTCTTCCCAAATATATTAGCATATTTTTGAAATACTAAATTTTTGGCCATATTCAATATACATTTCAATTAAAATAAATAAATAAAATATCTATATATATATTGTCCGTATTCAATATATTTATATATATATATATATATATATTTAATAATGTATGGTGAAAGTAGGGTTTTATAAATTACAACATATATAACAAATATTTTCAAAAATTGTTTTTTTTAAATATATTCTTCAGAATTTTTTTAACATATAAGAAAGTCATTTTAACATATGTTTTTACATATAGTTGTAAATGCATTCCAAAAAAATGTAGATTAAATGTATTTTTAAAGACATTTTTTACAGTACATTTTAAAATTGTATTTTTAAACTTCTTTTGCATATATTTTGTAATATATAAAAAAAAGCATTTCAACATACAGTGTGTGTATATATATATATATATATATATATATATATATACACATTGAATACTGCCAAAAATGTAGTATTTCGAATATACAGTATATCCATATATATATATTGTGTATATATATATATATATATATATATATATATATATATATACTGTATGTTAAAGTGCATCTTTTCTAAATTACAACATATATGACAAATATTTTCAAAAAACATTTTTTTAAATATATCTTCAGATTTTTTTTTTTAACATATAAAAAAGTTATTTAACATATGTTTTTTACATATATTTGTAAATGTATTCCAAAAATGTAGATTAAATGCATTAAAGACATACAGTACATATATATATATATATATATATATATAACACACACACACACACACATATATATATATATGTGTATATATATATATGTATATATATATATATATGTGTGTATATATATATATATATATATATATGTGTGTATATATATATATATATATATATATATATATATGTGTGTATATATATATGTATATATATATGTATATATGTATGTATATATGTATGTGTATATATATATGTATATGTGTGTATATATATATATATATATATATTGAAATACATTGAATACTGCCAAAATTGTAGTATTTAAAATATATGTCAATATATTTTTTTTTTATTTTTAAAATATATTTAACATATATTTTTCCTCCACATGGGTTAACACCATCTTTATATTTAAAGTTTTATTATTCGATTGTCTGGTTTTATAAAAGCCTAGATAAGAGCCAGATAAGGTGACAACGTATACAATGGCCATCTTGGCACACACACTACATCGGTTACAAGGGTGATACAAGTCAACGCACCGTAATTCTGAAGCTGGAAAAACACCCACTGTGTTTCTTCCTTATCATCGACAGCCTCTATACCCCAATACCCGAGCTGTGATTGACTAGATGTAGTGAAGCTCACTGACAGGACACCATTGACTTGTGTGGGATTCAGAATTTGATTAATGGGGATTCCATTTGGGTCCTGCAGAAATAAATGAAGCATGGAAGACATTGCTTGATTATAGGAATTTTGTATGTATACATTCTTTATATTTCTGCTGGATAATCCACACATGGGCTATGATCCATGGAAGGATAAAACAATCCCTATCCTAAGGCGGCGAGATGCTGATTTCTTTATAACAATTATTATTATGCAGGGAAGGTACCATTTCACTTCATGTGCAACATAAATGTAAAGCATGTGGACCCACAAAAAGAACTCCAATAGTTGGACCGCACAGTGAGAGGATGGGAAAGTAAGAGCAGGGGGTTGTACTTCGAATCTGGATTTACAAAAATTGTAAAAACACAAATGGGATCCCCTATGAATTCAATTAATATATAAATATATAATATGCCGACTCACCCAACTTGCAGGGCGGTGTCCTCAGGACCAAAATATGCAGGAATAATAGAGACCGGTGAATAAAGATCTCACTGGAAAAGACGTTGTCTTGAGGACTTCTTTTCCAGTGACTTCTTTACTCACGGGTCTCTATTATTACGGAATCCAGATTTAAAAAGCATCCATGAACCCCCCCAATAATGAATCTTTAAAGGAATATATGGTGGTTTTTGTGCTTTAGTACGAGGTACTTTAATGGGGACTGTGATATGATCGGGAGACTCTGATGGGGATCCTAATGCAACTCTAATGCAAGATGGGACTACTTGATGATTCCTTGATATAATGGGAACTCTGATGTACAGGAGACTCTGATAGACTCCTAGACCTAGGACTCTAATGGGGGCCCTGTTGTAAATTGTGACTCTGATTTGGGAGATGGAAGTACAGATGGAAACCCTAATGTAAGGGGAGGACCCTGATGTAAGGAAAGATTCTGATGGGGACCTTGATGTAAATGGGGCTCATATGAAGACCCAAATGTAAGGAGGGTCCCTGATGTAGCAGAAGACTCTGATGTAAAGATGTCCCTGATGGGGACCTTGATGTACGGGGGGACTCTAATGGTGGCCTTGTTGTAAATTGGGACTCTGATTTTGGGGTGGGGGGAGTATGGATGGGAACCCTAATGTAAGGGGGGGGACCCTGATGTAAGGAAAGATTCTGATGGGGACCTTGATGTAAATGGGGCTCATATGAAGACCCAAATGTAAGGAGGAACCCTGATGTAGCAAAAGACTCTGATGTAAGGATGTCTCTGATGGGGACCTTGATATATGGGAGGACTCTAATGGTGGGCCCTGTTGTAAATTGGGACTCTGATTTTGGGGGGGGGGAGTACAGATGTTAACCCTAATGTAAGGGGGGGACCCTGATGTAAGGAAAGATTCTGATGTTCATATGAAGACCCAAATGTAAGAAGGGACCCTAATGTAGCAGAATACTCTGATGTAAGGATGTCCCTGATGGGGACCTTGATGTATGGGGGGACTCTATATGGAGGCCCTGTTGTAAATTTGGGACTCCTATTTGGGGGGGTGGAAGTATGGATGTTAACCCTAATGTAAGGGGGGGACCCTGATGTAAGGAAAGATTCTGATGGGGACCTTGATGTAAATGGGACTCATATGAAGACACAAATGTAAGGAGGGACCCTGATGTAGCAGAAGACTCTGATATAAGGATGTCCCTGATGGGGACCTTGATGTATGGGGGGACTCTAATGGGGGCCCTGTTGTAAATTGGGACTCTGATTTGGGGTGGGGGGAGTACGGATGGGAACCCTAATGTAAGGGGGGGACCCTGATGTAAGGAAAGATTCTGATGGGGACCTTGATGTAAATGGGGCTCATATGAAGACCCAAATGTAAGGAGGGACCCTGATGTAGCAGAAGACTCTGATGTAAGGATGTCCCTGATGGGGACCTTGATGTATGGGGGGACTCTAATGGGGACCCTGATGTCATGGGGACAAATACCAAAAAGTATATTAAAAAATACAAATAAAATCAAAAATTAAATACATTAAAAAGAAACTACCCTAAATACAAAAATACACAAGGCCAGCGGGCCAAACCTGGGCCACCATTTCATGTGGTCCTCGCACCTCCTGCAGCTGCGGCACTCTCCTTTGCTTCCACCCCCCAACTTGTCTAGGCTGTCGGCAGCAGAGAGGAGAACAGAAATCCTCCTCCAGATCCTGCACTTCTCCTCGAAGCCACAGAGAGGCTTATCTCTGCCTTTTCCCCCCAACCTCAGCGGTCAGCAGCAGAGAAGAGGACAGAACTCCTCCTGCTCATCCTGCACCTATCTGTGCAGCTACAGTACCCCCCCAGGGGCGGACTGAAAACTCATGGGGCCCCCCGGGCAATAGGGGATCATGGGGCCCCTGTGTCCTTGCCCAAACTCAAAAAAGCCTACGAAAAAAGATACCAGGGGCATCCCATGGGGCCTCCTACTGACCCCGGGCCCTCGGGCAGTGCCCGAGTTTCCAAATGGTCAGTCCGCCCCTGGTACCCCCTCATCTCCACCACCTTCTCTAGTCTCAGCATTCAGCAGCTGACTTCAGCCCTCTTCTGGACCCCCCATCCAGACCCTGCACTTTCTGCTTCCCAGCACCACCCCCAGCTATTTCTTTGCAGCACCACAAGATAGGGAGGTGCACTGTGATGTAAGGGAGGGAGAGGGGCACTTAACTTCTGATGGTGTGGGGGCTCTTGGCATCTGATGTTAGGGGGGACCAGGGGCAGACTGACCATTTGGGCACTCGGGCACTGCCCGAGGGCCCAGGGTCAGTAGGGGGCCCCATGAGATGCCCCTGGTACCTTTCATAGGCTTTTCTGGGTGTGGTTTGAGTGTGGGTGAAGACACAGGGGCCCCATGATCCCTTATTGCCCGGGGGCCCCATGAGTTGTCAGTCCCCCCCTGGGGGGAACTGGTGTATTTGCTATGGACATCTAATCCCTTTGAGGACCACCATAATGCTGATGAGGCCCACAATGAAATTGAGTTTGACACCCCTTTTTGACCCATGAGAAAAGATTAAATCTTTCCAGTTCAAACAAAACCATTATCATAGCAAATGGACCAATCATCTTACACAAGGCTAGGCTTACCACAAGTAAAACCTTTGTGAACTGTAAAAAAAGAAAGGAAAGATAATTAAAAAGTGATAAATAAATGGTTTATTTTTTTAAACATTGCTTATACACACACAATAGTTGAAGCACACCATTTAGCTACACACATGTACCCCCCCCCCCCTCCTTCAATAACCACTCGCCCTCCTGAGGATTTACCCCCCTTCCTGACCAGGCCATTTTTGCCTGCAATACTTTAACTGGCAATTAGGCGGTCATGCAGCACTGCACCCAAATTAAATTTACGTCCTTTTTTCCCACTAATTGAACTTTCTTTCGGTGGTATTTGATCACCTGTGTGTTTTTTATTTTTTTGCGCTATACAATAAAAAGAACGACAATTTGAGAGAAAAAAACATTTTGGATTTTTTGCTATTAAACATTTCCAGTAAAAAAAAATACAAAATAATACAATACAATAAAAAATACAAAAAATCCAATTTTTGTCATCAATTTAGGCCAACGTGTATTCCTCTCCATGTCTTTCCTAAAAATAAATCCCAATACGTGTAAATTAATTGGTTTACGTGAAAGTTATAGCATTTACAAATGGCGGTATAGATACTGTGATTTTTTTTTTTTTTCCTACTAGTAATGGCGGCCATTAGCGACTTTATAGCAGGACTGCTATATATTTAAAAAATATTTAAAAAATATATATATTTTTCAAATATATTCTTCAGATTGCTTTTAACATATAAAGTCATTTTTACATATATTTTGTAAATGCATTCCAGAAATGTAGATTTGTATTTTTTTAAGACATACAGTATACTTGAAATGTATTTTTTAAAAATATTTTTCATACATTTTGTAATAAAAACACATTTCAACATGCAGTATATGTGTGTGTGTCTGTCATATATATATATATATACACACACACAACACACACATTATATATATATATGTGTGTATATACATGAATGTGTATATACATATACAGTATGTGTGTTTGTGTATATATAATCTGTATATATGTGTGTGTGTGTGTATATATATATGTATGTGTGTATATATATACAGTCAGGTCCATAAATATTGGGACATCGACACAATTCTAACATTTTTGGCTCTATACACCACCACAATGGATTTTGAAATGAAACAAACAAGATGTGCTTTAACTGCAGACTGTCAGCTTTAATTTGAGGGTATTTACATCCAAATCAGGTGAACAGTGTAGGAATTACAACAGTTTGCATATGTGCCTCCCACTTGTAAAGGGGACAAAAGTAATGGGACAGAATAATAAATCATAAATCAAACTTTCACTTTTTAATACTTGGTTGCAAATCCTTTGCAGTCAATTACAGCCTGAAGTCTGGAACGCATAGACATCACCAGACGCTGGGTTTCATCCCTGGTGATGCTCTGCCAGGCCTCTACTGCAACTGTCTTCAGTTCCTGCTTGTTCTTGGGGCATTTTCCCTTCAGTTTTGTCTTCAGCAAGTGAAATGCTCAATCGGATTCAGGTCAGGTGATTGACTTGGCCATTGCAGAACATTCCACTTCTTTCCCTTAAAAAACTCTTTGGTTGCTTTTGCAGTCTGCTTTGGGTCATTGTCCATCTGCACTGTGAAGCGTCCAATGAGTTGTGAAGCATTTGGCTGAATATGAGCAGATAATATTGCCTGAAACACTTCACAATTCATCCGGCTGCTTCTGTCAGCAGTCACATCATCAATAAATACAAGAGAACCAGTTCCATTGGCAGCCATACATGCCCACGCCATGACACTACCACCACCATGCTTCACTGATGAGGTGGTATGCTTAGGATCATGAGCAGTTCCTTTCCTTCTCCATACTCTTCTCTTCCCATCACTCTGGTACAAGTTGATGTCGGTCTCATCTGTCCATAGGATGTTGTTCCAGAACTTTGAAGGCTTTTTTAGATGTCGTTTGGCAAACTCTAATCTGGCCTTCCTGTTTTTTTTTTTTTTTTAGGCTCACCAATGGTTTACATCTTGTGGTGAACCCTCTGTATTCACTCTGGTGAAGTCTTCTCTTGATTGGTGACTTTGACACACATACACCTACCTCCTGGAGAGTGTTCTTGATCTGGTCAACTGTTGTGAAGGGTGTTTTCTTCACCAGGGAAAGAATTCTTCGGTCATCCACCACAGTTGTTTTCCGTGGTCTTCTGGGTCTTTTGGTGTTTTTGAGCTCACCGGTGCGTTCCTTCTTTTTAAGAATGTTCCAAACAGTTGTTTTGGCCACGCCTAATGATTTTGCTATCTGTATGATGGGTTTGTTTTGTTTTTTTCAGCCTAATGATGGCTTGCTTCACTGATAGTGACAGCTCTTTGGATCTCATCTTGAGAGTTGACAGCAACAGATTCCAAATGCAAATAGCACACTTGAAATGAACTCTGGACCTTTTATCTGCTCATTGTAATTGGGATAATGAGGAAATAACACACACCTGGCCATGGAACAGCTGAGAAGCCAATTGTCCCATTACTTTTGGTCCCTTAACAAGCGGGAGGCACATATGCAAACTGTTGTAATTCCTACACCCGTTCACCTGATTTGGATGTAAATACCCTCAAATTAAAGCTGACAGTCTGCAGTTAAAGCACATCTTGTTTGTTTCATTTCAAATCCATTGTGGTGGTGTATAGAGCCATAAATGTTAGAATTGTGTCGATGTACCAATATTTATGGACCTGACTGTATATGTGTGCGTGTGTGTGTATATATAATTTGTATATGTGTGCGTGTGTGTGTATATATAATCTGTATATGTGTGCGTGTGTGTGTATATATAATCTGTATATGTGTGCGTGTGTGTGTATATATAATCTGTATATGTGTGCGTGTGTATATATATATATATATATATATATATATATATATATTGTGGCAGTGCGGTATCCTGCCACGGTGGAAAGCACGATGGAGACCCAGGATTCTCAACCATAGAGGTTGAGGGGCTCCAGGCAGATCTCCTAATGCAGAGGAAACTGGTTTATCAGTTTCCTCTTTGGTTTGGTAAAGCCTGTTTTGGGACCTGTAGCCTGGAGATTTCTTAGAGATTTGGGAGGGATGAAATCTCCAATCCTGGGCCCATATTTTGGGAGCAGCCAGCGTGCTGATTGCCCAGGTGTGTGCAGGCCTTTTAGGGGAGGCCAGGCCATGATTCTTGGCTCCACCCCGGCAGTTTAGGAGGGCTCCACCCCGGCAGACAGGAGGTCTCTGCCGTGGAGTCAGGTGGGCTACACCTAGGAGAGGTGGAAGCCAAAAGCAGCAAGGGGCTGCTACAGAATAGCTGTGTGCTAAAGGTTTTGCTGGGTGCAAAAAGAACCTTGTGGAAGGAGTCTATAAGAGACAGACATAAAGCTGTATAGCTGAGAGAGCCAGGAGGCTGAATTTTGTTTGATGGTGGATACCCCTGCGTGGGAAGCATTTTTGTTGATTGAACTGTCATTTAAATAAAAGTGGGCAACCAGGCCCTTAAAAAATAAGCGAGTTGCTGTGTGCTTTAACGAGAAGAGCTCTACCACTTGAAGCGAGTTCCCACAATATATATATATAATATATATAATCTGTATATATGTGTGTGTGTGTATGTATATATATATATATATATATGTGTGTGTGTGTGTATACAGTATATGTGTGTGTGTGTATATATATTTATTGAAATGTATTTTGAAATATATTGAATATGGCCAAAATTGTAGCATTTCAAATATATGGCAATATATTTGGGAAGAATATTTTTAAACTATATTTCAAATATATTTTTCTTCCAGATGGGAAGCCAGCTCCATAAAGATATTCAATGAGTTTGTTGTTTAGGAACTCAAGTGTCCTACACAGAGCCCTGACCTCAACCCTACTGAACACCTTTGGGATGAATTGGACTGCCAATTGGGAGCTAAGTCTTCTCATCCAAATTACAAATGGCATTTTTCTGCTAAATGGGCACAAATGCCCACAGACACTTTCCAAATTCTTGCGTAAAGCCTTCCCAGTAGACTGGAGGCAGTCATAGCTGCAAAGGCAGAGGCAACACCAAATTAATGGCTGTAGTTTTGGAAATAAGATTTCCAGCAAGCTCATATACTAGACATGTGCACAGCGGAAATTTTCATAGAGTTTGGGATGCATTCGTTCATTGAAGAATTTTCTTTTGTCCTATTCGTCAACCAATTCACTTTCGGCATTCGTTTCGTATATTCGTTGGCCCAAGTGGATTTGAAAACATTTTTTCAGAAGATTGCTAGATATTAGTTTTTGAATTCGATATTTCAGGAGGATTTGATATTCATGTATCAAAACTATTAAGAAGGATTTGATATTTATGGACACACAACGGAATAAATAATGCAAAAATTCGGCAGCCAGAATTTTTCCAAACATAAGAATTGCGTTAGACTGTGGAACTGAACGGACTGACTGTGGCAATTACAAATTCACAAACTGACTTGAATCTGAAACATTAAAAAGTCTCTTACATTTTTTTACAACTTGCATCATGTTTTCGTCATAACATGTCATCAACAATTGTACTGTGAAAAAAGAACAGAGTGTTAAAGGGACGTCTGGCATGTATCATATATAAAATTGTCTCCATTTTGGATAAAGCTTGGAAAGGTTTGAGTTAGAATTTCGGAATTAAAAATATGGAACAAAAAACTCAAAGCTGAGAGAGAGCGTCTCACAATGTGTATTAGAAGCTGCAGCAAGTCAGATAGAGTCCGTCTCATTTCCTGGATGAAGGACTTCTAGCATCTTCTAGACTGGAGGGTCGGCAACCATTGATCACAATCCACCTGAGTTCTCAAGCCGAGAAGCATTCCAAGCCAGTTCTAGGCTGATGAATTCCCTGCCCTGCAGCACGCCCTT